AGCAGTGAGACCCCAGATCCTGAATTTCTTGTAAACAACTTGTTTTCCCCTGATCTGAGTGCCTACAGCTGCTCTGAGCACGAGACCTTCAAGGAGTTCCTGATGGCAGGAGAGTGGTTTCTGGTGGGTTTGGCTGGGGCATGGCTATCTCTATATAATCTGCCCCTGAACACAATAAAAAGAGCGTTCTTGGGGCTTTGGTGTCAGTGTTAAAAGGTCTGCGTGTCGGTCTGTCTCTGCGTCTGTATTCTCAACCTCCAGCCCCGTGCCCGAAGCTTGCGAACTGGGGTCTAGCGCACAGAGCGCAGACAGGAGCCATGGTGCGCAGCATCCTGTCCCTCAAGGAGCAAGGCAGAGAAAGGTGGCCTTTTTACCTTCTTTCCCCTCTGTGGACACGCCCTCTTCCTGATCCTCCTCGTCTTCAATAAACTCCTCCTCGTCCTCATCTGTAACAGGAACAGTTGTTTTAGGATGAGATTGGCCTGGAGGGGACATCTGTCTCCATTTCTGGACCCAACTGTGCACCTAGAAGCAGCAGGGACCTAGGAGGTACCGGGCTTGTGGGATCCCAGATCACGGAGTCCAGCCTGCATGTCCCCTGCCTCCTCCCTCCAGGTCACAGTCCTTTCGCCCTTCATCACTGCTATGCCTGAGGCCTCAGGGACACAGGAGGCAACTTTGGATCCTCAGCGGAACAGACACAGCACAAAGGGGAGGCAGGACAAACATTTCCTGTCCTTCCGGACCGAAGTCCTTAGTTTAAAGGAATTTGCTCAGCCTTTGAAATCAGCTTGCTCAGCATCTCCTGTCTCCACCATTCCTCAGTCAGCAGACAGGCAGTCTTGGGGCGGCCTGGGGTTCTTTGCTCAGGACAGTGTCCACCAAGGTGCAGTCTGGGTTCTCACTTTCTCATCCTGTGGCCTTCAAACTTTCCTAACAGGGTCATGCCCCTCCCACGATTCCCATCCAGGCCTTGGGATTACAGAGTCAGAGTTTGTCAAACATTACTTACAAACTAGAACACCATGGTTAAATTTGTAATCCCAGGACTCAGGAAACTGAGATGGGTTAGCCACAGATTTGAAGGCAGTTTGGGCTACATAGTGACACCCTGTCTCAACAACAACAACAGTAGCAGCAGCAAGTAAAACCTCCAGCCAAACCCCAGGATGCATACATGAACTGGATAATCCAAACCCCCAGGATGCATCATGAACTGGATAATCCAACCCCCCAGGATGTATACAGAGCCAGATAATCCAAACCCCCAGGATGCATACATGAACTGGATAATCCAAACCCCCAGGATGCATACATGAACTGGATAATCCAAACCCCCAGGATGCATACATGAACTGGATAATCCAAACAGAGGACTTGCTGTGTCATTTAAAGCCATAGTTACTGCTCATAATAGTTCCCCCAGAGAATCACTGAGGCCAGGGCCATGGAGTCGGCACATTGTCTCAAATGTCCTCGGAGAGTCTTGTGAGCCAAATGGCCCAGGTGGGGTTTGCACCTGCTACTTCCTAGCCGAGCGGCTTTGAACAACTAAGTACTCTATACTTAGTTTCCTAAACTCAAGGTGGAGGTGCTAATAGAACTCCGTCCTAGAGTTGATAGGATTTATGTCAGGGTCTCAGTGCTCTGAGCATAAAAAGTCCAATGAATAAATAAACTCAGGAATGGGTGCAGTGAGACACGCCTTTAATCCCAGCACTCGGGAGGCAGAGGCAGGCGGTTCTCTGAGTTCCAGGCTAGCCCAGTCTACTTAGAGAATTCTAGGATAGCCAGGGCTCCGCAGAGAGACCCTGTTGAAGCTGACTGTGTACATTTGATGTTTTTAGTGGATCTGCCTACCATCAGTGCACAGAATGCTGCCATTCAAAGGTCAAACAGCACACAAGCAAGTAGCATCACCATGGCCTTTACCTGTCCCAAAGTCGATGGCCCTCAGGGCTTCTGCTATGTGTTCTAGATCCACAGTGAAGTAGTCCATGCTTTCAAAGCCCTGCTCTGTCTTCCCCAGCTGGCAGCCCTTGGACGCTTCCACAATGCTGGGGGGGGGGGGCGGAGAAAGGCAGGGTGAGGTCTCAGGTTCCTTATAGGAAAAGAGCCCAGCCTCAGCTCTAGGTGGATCCGTCCCAGCCCCACAATCCATCCCTGAAGTGGAGGGGATGAAAGGGTAGAGATCTTCTCCAGAGTCAAGCAGAGTGGATGATCTAAGAAAATAGGGGGCATGAGCCGGGGATGAACCCCAACTCCTGGAGAATTAATGCACTGGGTCCCACTGGGCAAGTGTCAGAAGCCCTGGGGCAACTAGGGCCTTGGGTCACAGTTCCCGAGACACTAACCTCTTGATGAGTTGCTTGGCACTCTGTGGGGAGAAAGAGCAGAGAAGGTTAGCACTGAAAACCCCAGGGGACATAAAACAATGACCTCCTGAGCAGAGACTCAGGTACCACCCCATGGTGCAGTCCTGCCCTAAGACAGAATGTGGACATTTTCTCTCTGTCCCTGGTTTGCACAGGTCTTGGCCAGCATGCCTCCCAAAAAGCTGTCATTGTCTGAGCAGGAAGCCAGGAGTCTCGGGCCAAGTCACTCACAATGTCTGAAGTATCCTGGATGAGAGTCAAACAAACCTCCTTCTCAGACCGATGGTCTGGACAAAGCTGGCCTATGGGGAGAGCTGAAGGTATGTGTTCAATTGTACTTTTTTGTGTGTTTTTAATTTTTTCTTTGAATGTATGTGTGCCTGTGTGAAATTATGTGCACCACATGTGTGCAGCAGCCCTGGAGGCCAGAAGAGGGTGTCAGATTCCTCTGACTGTGAGCTGCCCAACATGGGTGCTGGGAACTTTACTCCAGTCCTCTGAAAGAGCAACAAGCACTCTTGACCCCTGCACCATCATCTCTCCAGACTGTCTGGGTTTTGCTGTTGTCGAAAGGTTTACTTATTTTTGTTTTATGTGTATGCATGAGTGCCTGCATATATGTATGTACATCATATATGTGCCTAGTGCCCTTGGAAGTAAGAAGCCCTCATTGGGTCCCCTGGAGCTGGAGCTATAGATGGTTGTAGGTACTGGGAACTGAATCCAGATCCTTTGCAAGAAGAGAAAGTGTTCTCTCTCTCTCTTTCTCTCTCTCCCTCTTCTCTCTATTATGTAGCTCTGGCTGTCCTGAAATTTGCTTTGTAGACCGGTCTGGCCTCAAAATCACAGAGATCTGTCTGCCTCTGCCCCCCCCCCAGTCCTGGGACTAAGGGTGTGTGTCACAAGAAGTCTTCTTAACCACAGTCATCTATTTTTTTAAAATGTGTTTGTTTGTTTGTTTGCAGACAGAGTCTCACTATGCAGTCTTGGCTGGTCTGGAGCTCCCTATTTAGACCAGGCTAGCCTCAAACTCACAGAGATCCTCCTGCCTCTGTCTGCATCTTCTGCCTCTGCCTATATCTTCTAAGTGCTCAGATCCAAGTCATGTGCCACCAAGCCTAGCCTGGCATGTTTTATTTTGCGATAACACTTCACAATTTCACCAAGTTGCCCTGGTCTCCCCTCAACTTGCAATCCTCTTGTCTCAGACTCTCAGGTATTTGGATTACAGGCATGAGCTACTATGCCTGGCATCTCACCAAGATTTAAAAGGCCTGTTCAAGGGCGAAGGAAGAGCACAGTTCAAATCCACCCAGACACTCCAGGGGCCACTCACCAAGAGGAAGGTGGCCCCTCCAGGCTCGTCCAGAGACTGAATGGCTGTTTCCACAAGTTTGGTGGACTTTTCCAGCTGTTCGCGGTACTGGAGGATCAGGGCCTCGATGAAGCTCAGCTTCTCTTCCTGCTCCTGCGTGATCCTCTGCAGCAATTCGCTCTTCTTCTCGTCCAAGATGGCGTAGAGGGCATCAAACTTCTGACTCAGCTCCTCCTTCACCTGGTGGCTGTTCTCCTGGGGAGAGAAACCTACAGTCTCATCTCATGGGGTCCCAACCCACTTTCTGAGACAGCCACCTGCAGCAAGAAGAGAGACTGTCCAGTCCTCATCGCACAGGAAACAAATGGGAAGAATGGCCTGCACGGAAGACTGACTTGGTACAAGTCAGCGGGATTTTCTCTCAAAATAAAAAAGGAAAATGGATTTGGCAGTGGCACCTTCCAGAATGGGATGCCACACAGAGGGATAGCAACGATCCCAACCTTCCTACTGCTCCGCCCACTTGCAGTTATGATACCCACTCCTGCCCTCCCCACCCCAGCTCCAACCCTTCCCCAAGAGACCAGATTATTTTTCTTTTTGGAGACAGGGTCTCAATGTGTAGACCTGGCTTGCCTGGAACTCACGACATAGATCAGGCTGGCCTTGAACTCACTATATGTAGGAGGTGACCTATACACAATTTCTTCATCTCCCAAATGCTGATGTTACAGACATGACATCACATCTGGCTGGGAAAACCACCTCTGCCTCTGCTGTCCCCGCAGCCTTCCAAAGCTCATCAGAAGTGCAGCCAGCTGCAAGCGTGTAATCCCAGCACTTGGCAGGTCGAGGTAGGAGATACAGGAGTTCAAGGTCAATCTAGACTACTTAGTAAATGCAAGGTCATCCTGTTCTACACAAGACCTTGTCTCAAAAAATCAAATCAAAGATAGGAAATAGGAAAGACAGACAGAAAGAGGACTGGAGAGATGGCTCAGTGCTTAAGACCACTGACTGGCTGGGCAGTGGTGGCGCACACCTTTAATCCCAGCACTCGGGAGGCAGAGGCAGGCAGATCTCTGTGAGTTTGAGGCCAGCCTGGTCTACAGAACGATTTCCAGGACTGACTGCAGAGCTACTAAGAAACCCTGTCATGAAAAACAAAAAAAATGCTCTTCCAGAGGACCCTGATTCAATTCCCAACACCAGCATGGTGGCTATCAACCATTTGTAACTCCAATTCCACAGGATCCGACTCCCTCTTCTGCCCTCTTTGGGCACTCTGCACACACATGGTGCACAGACATATGCTGGCAAAAGGGCCAGATACATTAAAAATATACACTAAGTGAGGAAGTGCGGACTTCCATTTCATTCCTGGTCCACTGAGTCAGATCCTGAGCTCCCACAGGCACCAGGGTCGAGCGTGAGCTTTTAAAGGTCCAGGAACCCTGCTCGGCAGCAGAATGGTTGATGCTAGAGACGCTCGTGGAGTTATTGGCAATTGCATCTGTCTTGACCTTGGGCAGAGTCTGGCACCGCTGCCGTGTTCAGGAACTATCTGCTGAGTGAGTGCAGGGATGACTGTGCCCCTTTCCTGCCATCTCTGTTGGGCACCCAAGGCTCTCACAGCTCAGGCCCTCCCCTGATGCCAGCTGCACTGGAGGCTTCCACTGCACCTCACCGCTGACAGGGCCGCTCAGCGCCCTCACCTTGGTCACTCGGCAGGAGTCCTCCAGCTGAGAAATGATAGTCTGCACTCGGTCGTTCCCTGCCACCAGCATGGAGATGCAGTTACTCAGTTCAGTCTGGAGGGGAGGGGGGTGAGAGAGGAGAGACGGAAATAGACTCAGGGCTGGCTGTTTCTCAGCGTCATAGCAGAGTGATAGCCTGCTCCCCTCTCTGAGGGCATCACCAGGAGAGTTGCTCTCCCTCCTTCTGGGGTGCAGTTCAGGCCTAAAGCAGAGACTTCCACAGATGCTATATCCTTTATGGATAGATGAGACCCAGAAAGAGAAACAAGTACCCCAAAACACACTGCAAGGTATTGAAAAAGGAACAAAGGAAAAACTAGTTTCTTTCTTTCTATATTTTTGAGACAGGGTCTTACTGTGCTGCCTTGTCTGGCCCAGAACTTACTTATGTAGACCAGGCTGGCCTCAAATTCACAGAGGTCTGCCTGCCTCTGCCTCATGAGTGCTGGGCTTAAAAAGCCTATGCTGCCATACCCTACTGCTAGTTCCTGACAGAAAGAATAGAACTGGAAAGTTCTAGAAGTCCAGGAGCTGAGTGGAATGCCAAGAGCAGAAAGGGGTGCTGCCTACTACACAGCCAGGATGCTAGGGTGGCCAGCAGCTCAGGGGAGAGCCTTGAATCTGTTTTGTGCTATATGAGAGACTCGAATGGAGAGGCCTGGGACCCCAGAGTACACAGGAGGAGAAGCTATGGCCTGGAAGGTCTGGCCTCGTCCCTGTGGCCACACCCAGGTGTTCTCAAGTGGTTCTAACTATAACCCATGAGCTCAGCCACCTCCCCCAGGGAGGCGACGGCTGCTGTCCCTGTGGCCTGGGAAGTCCCTTCAGAGGGACTATTCCTGAAAGGCCGGCTCAGCACATCCACAGAGGGGTCAAATCCACCCTCGGAATCATCCGGGCGGGCACAGCGGCTGTCGTCAATACCTTCTGTCCCTGGAAGATGTTTTGCAGCGGGGCTACCTCACAGGCCTGGTGGGCCCCGAACACCTTGCACAAGGAGCATGTAGGCACCTCACACGTGAGGCAGTAGATGTTGATTTTCTCGTCTTCATGCTCCTTGCACATCGGATGGTTGCCTTTCTGCAGGGGCCGACTGAGGGGGAGAGGAATCACACGTCAGGGATGTCTCCTCTCTTTGTCCCCAAGCACAGGAAGCCACCACCATCCACATGTCAGCTCCCAGTGTGTCAGGCTGCCTCAGATAGTCTCTTTTATCTTCTGGGAGCCCAAGACCAAGGAAGCTAATGAGATCACACCTGTTCCCAAACACCCAAACTCGGGCTCCGGTGTTGGAACTGGCCTGAGTTGGTACGGGGGACCTGGGGAGGGCCCCAGAATTCCAGAGTCAGACCCAAAGATGCTGACCTAAGGGGAGAGGCAAGAGTCCCAGAAACTGAATGGATTTGCCCAAGGTCGCCCAGCAGCACAGGCAGGGGAGGCTAGAACGCCTTTGCTCTAATTATAGCCCCATAACTCTTGGTTGCTGCGTCTGGACAACTGATTCCAATGGCAACCCTTATGTCTATATTTAATCTACCAAACCATAGCCTCCAACCAGGCCGGGGAGCCTGCTTGTTTTTCTTCCCTAAGTCTATAACATACAGTACCTGGCGTGAAGACCATGGAAATGAAACGCAAGTAGAAAGAATATATGAGCAAACACATCCTGAAGGCGTCCGAGGGCTCAGAGAAGGGGACAGTACGTACACTCTAAGCCTTGCTAACAGCACGTGGTGGGGGCAGGGCTGTCCAGAATCATACCGCAAACCTTGACCTACGCTACTCTCGGGGCCCAGAAGCTCTTCTTTTTAAAATTTTAAAAACTGCCTTTATTATGTGTGTATGTTGGGGGAGGGGGAATGTGTGTGCCACGGCACACGTATGGAGGTCAGAGGACAGCTCGAAAGAGTTGGTTCTCTCCTTCTACCATGTGGGTACTGGGGATAGAACTCAGGTCATCAGGCTTGGCGGCAAGCACCTTTACTCACGGAGCCATCTTGCCGGTCCAAGAGTTTCTTCTTTCTGTCCTAGGATGCCTTGCTCCCTTTATTGCTTTCTCCTTTTAGGGTGCCCAGCATGCTCCTCTCCAACATCAGCCATTTCCCAGCCTAGACTGAGGTTTTAGAGTCAAGTCCTTACCTACACGACCTCTGATCCTCAGCCCCTAACACGTAACCACCTCATAAGTCTCAAATAGTGACTGTCTCCATCAGTGCCCAGTGTCTCACCTCCCAGCAGCCCTGCATGGCTGTCACATGACCATGACCTCACTGCCCCCTTCCAGGAGCCCCTTTCCAGGCTTTTTTTGTTTTGTTTTTATCTTTGAGCCCAGGGACCCTCTACTGTGGCTGTGGTGATAGGTGTTTTCTCTTGCTGTTGTCCCCTAGGGTGGCAGTAACAAGACAGACTGTGAAGCAAGACAGAGAAGGCCTGCTGCCTGAGGACACCTCCCTCCATGGTGGCCAGGCGCCAGGCCAGGTCTTGCGTGATCTTCGTCTTCAAACCTCAGCATCTCTCAGTACTGTGCCAACCATGTCAGAATGTGACCAGCAGAGCTCTGAGCAGACCCTGGTTAAAGGCAGCTGTCATTGCCATTTACCTGTTAGGGAAAAACCCCAAAGAGTCTAGACACAACCTACTCTTAAGGACTCTACAGCAGGAGGCTGATACTGTAGACTATAAACTGTGTTATTATTATTACAGCCATCATCAACAACGTAATCATCAGAAATAGGCATTAAAGGGCTGACAAGATGGCTCAGCAGATAAGGGTGCTTGCATTGCAGCAGGAGGCTAGTGACCTGAGTTTGATCCCTGGAACTCGTGGAAAGGCAGAAGGAGAGCACGGATTACACAAAGTTGTCCTCTGACCTCCACACGTGGGCCATGGCATGTGTACACTCACCCCCACACCGTGCACTAACAACAATAAATAATATAAGTAATTTCAAAATATATGTGCATGTCTTCTCATCTGGGGAAGGGACTGGATAAAAAGCCTTGTGTTAGAGTTAGAAAGGGTTCTACCACTGAGCTGTATTTCCAGTCCCTGATTTTTATTAGCTTTGAAGCAGGATCTGGCTGAATGGTCCAGGCAGGCACTGCATTTGCAAGGAGAGCCTTGAAACGGAGAGCCTCCTGCTTCAGGATTCCATGTCTAAGGACCACAGATGACCGGGATTGCGGGCATATGCCACCATGCCCGGTGCTCAACAATGTCCATTTGCAGTGTTGTGTTCTAGCTATGTGAGATGCAATATAACAACGTTTAGAGTATTCACTGCTGAGACTGAAGAGACAGGTGAGCAGTTAAGAGAGCTTACTGCTCTTGCAGAGGACCTGGGTTTGGTTCCCAGCACCCATATGACAGCTCACAACCGTCTGTAATGCCAATATAACTCTGGTTCTAGTTCCGGGGGGGGGGGGGATCATGATAGCGATATCTTGTCAACTTGACTACATCTGGAATTAACTAAAACCCAAGTGGCTGGGTATACCATAAGGGATTTCTTTCTTTTTTCTTAATTAAATCATTTTTATGTGGGAAAACCCGCTTCTAATCCAATTTTTTTTTTGAGGTGGGAAGACCCTCCCCTAATCTGGGACACACCTTCTGCTGGTGCCCAATAAAGGACACGGAAGAAGGAAGCTTGCTCGCTCTTTGCCTCTTTGCTCCCGCGCTCACAAGCATGTCCATTCCCTCACTGGCATTCCAACATAGACTGAAGATCAAATGAGACATCCAGCCTTGTGTGCTGTATCCAGTATGACTGCTGTATGGCTGTATGACTCCTGGATTCCTGGACCTGCTGCTGGCAGACAGCCAACAGCCATTACCAGGCCCGCTGGACTGCAGCCTGTAAGCCATTCTAATAAATCCTGTGTATGTATTTATTCTGTAAGTTCTGTTCCTCTAGAGAACTCTGACTAATACAGGGATCCAGTACCCTCTTCTGGCCTCCACAGACACCAGGCGCTCATCTTTACTACCTGATGGCTTAACCTGCGTCTTCATTTTCTCATGAGAAAACGGGCATGAGACAGCCTTGCAATGTCACAGTGACACTGGACAGGAAACGCACGGAGGAGCCCAGGGTAGCCCCCACATGCAGTCAGTGCTCCACGAATGTCCAATATTTCAGATCTTAGCATCCGTCCCCTTGACTGAGTCTGGCTATGTAGGCTGGGCACGATTGCTCTGTTCTGCCTTGGCCCTCCTAGAGCTGGGATGGCAGCTATGCCCCGTCTTCTCTGGTCTGGGGAAGGTTTTAGGCTATAAGGCCATGAGGTCAGCAGTTTGGGAGTCTTGTTGAGGTGTTCTATTTACTTCATTGATGGGTAGGTGGATTGACTGGCCTTGGCGCTGGGGATCCCAGCACTCTGGGCCAGGGTTTCGTGTCTTCTCAGCAGGTTCTACCATCAAGCCCCAGTTAGTACGCCCTCCTTTAGGAAGATCACCCAGTAGCTGTGTCTCTTTCCAGTTGGTGCCCAACCCTACACACCCCTTGCGCACCCACAAATCCTGTCCAGATCACCCCCTTCCCAAGCAATAAACATTGGGTAGCTGACCAAAACTATTATTATTGTTGTTATTACTATTACTGTTGAGGAGGGGTGGGACAGGGTCTCATTCTGTAAGCTGCGCTGGCCTGGAACTCATAGTAATCCTCCTGCCCCTGCCTCTCAAGAGGTGGGATCATGTGAGTCACCACACTTAGATGACTTCCCTTCCTTGAGACTCCATTTCTTATTCTACATAGGGATAATCCTGAAGGATGAAGCCTTCTCCGTGCCTGACTCCTGCCGCCCTAAGACCACTTGGCCGTATTCGCCCCAGGTGTTTTCTCCGCCATAGACTTTCTCTCTTAAGCACACACTCACATCCGTGCTCTGGCCCCGGGGTTCTCTTTCATGCCCCTACTACACCCAGCGAACTCAAGAGCTGAGGTTCTGTCTGAGGTAGAGGGTGATGACTCTCTGTACTGATGAACTCCTGGGGGAGGGGCTACAGTCTCCTGGGGGAGGGGCTACAGTCTCCTGGGGGAGGGGCTACAGTCTCCTGGGGGGAGCAGCTGGGCAGAGGGCTGGGCTGCAGAGCTGAGCACTAACCTGGAGCACTCCTGCTTGTAGATGTCAATGATGTTCTCCACCAGCAGATTCCTCTGTAGGCCGTACACCCCATGCCGGTCCATGATCACCTCGTGGCGGCACGAGGGGCAGCGGAAACGACCTCCCGACATGGACACCGAGCCACCGCGGTTGGTCCAGTAGGGATTCGCAGCCTGAAGAGAGCCAAGGCAAAGATGAGCCTGGAGTTTCTTCCTCCTCTGGTCTCTAGCTCTTTCCCCAAATGACCCAAACACACTAGCCAGACCAAAGGACACAGGCTGCAGGTCTCTACCTAGAACCAGCGCACCCACGTGGTGGAGTGTTGTATTAGCCAACATGAGTTCAGGTCATGTTGAAAACATGTTCAACTTTTTTGAACAAAAGTTCAACTCTTTTTCTCTGTGCCTCAGTTTACCACTGATATCACAGGCCTTAGAATTAGTGCCAGCTCTTGGGATTGTTAAACTGTGAAAGAACATTTTTGGTTTCTTTGGTTTTGTTTTTGAGATAGGGTCTTGCTATCTCAAACTCATTGTGTAGCCCAGACTGGCTTCAGACTCCTGCCTCAGCAACGACGTCTGGCTGTGGAAGGCCATTTTCTGAAGCCGCTCGGGACCCTTGAATCCCTCTTCCAATGCAGTCACCACAGCTCAGGAAGATGGCGTCCCTTCTGCCCCCGTGCAGGAGCACACAGCCTCTAAGGATGCTGCAGTGGCTACATGCCTCTTGCCACCTCCTCCCAAAGCTCTAGGCCCCCTGCCATGATGGAGCTGGCTCCTGCCCCAGGGCCTGGGTTCTCTCGCCTCTCTGCCCGCCTCCCCTTCCCTCTTATCACTTAGGCATTTGACTCCTGAGTAGAGAATCGACAGTGAGCCATCCAGGCAGAGCAGGGGGCTGTAGGCAGGGTGGAGACCAGACAGTTTATCATGGAGAAGGGCTGGGGCAGCCCCCCTTTCCCCTTAGCTCCCCTCCATCCCTCTCCCTGCCCAGAGGTCTCTGCATGGCTTCACATGGGAATGAGTCAGAAGCCTCCCACACTGTGAAGGAGGGGAAATCTGAGAAGCCTTCCTGGGGGAGGAGGGGTTCCAGGTCCAGGCCCTACTTAGTGCTGACCTGGAAGATGTCGTTGGCACACTTCCGGCAGAGGTTGTGCTGGCAGGGTAGGATGACCACAGGCTTGGTAAACATCTCCAGGCAGATGGGGCAGATCAGCTGCTTCTCCAGGTTCTCCATGGCGTTTCCATCCGGAATCAGGCTAGATTTATAATCCATATTGCTTTGAGATGTGGCCGCCTCTTCCACCCGTGTCACCAAAATGAAACTGGAGGGCTTGTCTTCGCCCCACACACACTCGATCCTCTTTGTCTTCTCCCGGCGTCCGATTTCTGTCTTGGTCTGAGGTACCTCTGATATTTATAGCCGTACCTCGGTCACATGAGCCCCAGGAGGGGACCAGCTGAGCATTCCGAAGCCAAGCTGCTGGCGGGGCTTGAGTTTCCTCCAGGCACCAAAGATTTGTCTCTCTCAGATCACACGTGGGGATGAGCAATCGCGTTCCCCTGGGACGGGGGGTCGTAAACAAGAACAGACTGTTCAGAGCCAGGCGCAGGGCAGGGGCCAGGTACCCGAGTTTCTGGCAGAAGTTGGCCTCTGCCCCCTCCCCGCGCCCCCCCACCGCCCACCCCCCCATCTCCCACTCCCCTACCCCCACCCCCTCCGCTGCCAGTCAAGTGGGAGTGAGGAAAGGGACCTGGAGAGAGGGTTCCTTGGCGTCAAGGGATGGACAACCAACCAACCAGCGCTCCTGTACCAACCTAAGTCAGTTCCCTTTCTGGATCATTGAGCAGCTACAAGATAAGGGCTGGAGGTAACCCCTCTGTGAGCCCTTCTCCTTGCCTCAGGCTCTGGCCAAGCATCTTAACTGGGTCTTCAGAGACTCCCACGCTGGCAGCCCACCCTGACACCCCTGAGTCACTTACTGCACTTCATGCTAAGAGGGCTTTCTTGAGATCCGGTGGGGATCCTCAGTGGGAAAAGTGCTTGCTGACATCCTGCGTTCACATGTCCAATTGTTTGCCCTGCACGGGATACTCACAGCCCAGAAAGACGAACATGAGATCCCTTCCTGTGCCTCGGAATCCTGGGCCCTGGCACGTGGAAGCCTGCCAGAGGCGCCCTGGGCTCTGCATACATGTTCATTCTCGGACCCCAGGAAGAACCAGAGGCCGTAGAAGATGTGGATCTCTTGAGACAAGAGTTGATCAAGATCTAAGGATCTGCAGGCCTATATTCCCAGCTACTCAGGAGGCTGAGGCAGGAGGATCAAATCCAAGATTATCCTAGGCTATATAGTGATGTCATGTCTCAGAGTAAAAAGTAAAACAGAGTGCGTGTCTGTAAGTCCAGTACTTAGGAGGCAGAGGCAGGAGGATTGGGAGTTCAAAGCCAACCTGGGCTACACAAAACCCTATCTCAAAATCAAATACTATCACTACACACCCCAAGTCACCACCATGACCCCTTACCATGAACCATACCATCCCAAAAGAAAAAGTATAAAAGTGTATATTTTTTAAAAGTTAAAAGACTGCGCAGAAGACCAGGATTCCGTTCCCAGCATCCACACAGTGACGTGTAACAATTATTCCGGCTCTAAGGGGTCTGACGCCCTCTTCTGGCCCACACTGGCACTGTATGCCTATCATGCACATACATGCTGGCAAAACACCCATACACAGAACAAAAGTATTTTTAAAGGTAAAAAGAGGAAGGGATAGGACTTAATGATAGAGCATTTACTTAGCATGTGGGATGAGGAATTACGTTCCATTCTCCATAAACTGCCTCCCCCCAAATAAAACCTTCGGGGACTCCCATGAGCAGAGGGGCCAGCAGAGGAAAGGGCAGATGAGGAGGCGGGACCAGTCCCAACAGGATCACTAAGGACAGAAAGCCAGGCCTGGTGATTCAGGCAGGAGGACTACTGTGAGTTCAGGTGAGTCTGGGCCGCAGTGTGAAGACATGTCAGTTTTCCAGATCGCCCCAAATCCTGGTGGCTGGTGTTTGCTGAGCACTTGCTACATGGCAGGCACTGTGCCAAGTACTTGCTTGCCTTCTGGCGGTTTCATCACCTGAACCGTTACATCCCCATCAAACGGGACAGGCAAGTCAGGCGCAGAGAGGCAAAGTAACCCGAGTGAAGTCACACAGCCAGCAGTGGGTGGCTCTGAGACACTGCCCAGCGTGAGCTTCTGGTTTCTCTGCGGACATGGAGGTGTTGATACTTTCAGGCCACCAGAGGAGGAGAAGAAGATGAGATCTGAGAAGAGGCGTCTTCCCGGTTCACAGGACCTTGGGTTCATTCAGGCATGTGCAGCCTGGTACCCCAGGAAAGTGGTTCTCTCACCTGTCATGGGGGGTAAACCACAAGAGGTTTAAGCCTATGCTGGTAATCTTATTCTTTTTTGTCTAATGGTGCAGCTATTGCCAAAGTAAATACTAATAGCAATAACATTCACTAACACTAAAGACTCCATGCGGAAAACATGAGTGCAAGAAGAAAGCTTCAGCCAGGAGGTGGTGGTGCACGCCTTTAATTCCAGCACTGGAGAGGAAGAGGCAGGCGGGTCTCTGTGAGTTCGAGGCTAGCCTGGTCTACAGAGCGAATCCCAGGCTAACTAGAGCACAGAATGAGTTCCTATTTCAAAGCAAACAAGGGAAAAGATACTTAAGAGCCAAGAGGAGGGCTCAAGGAATCCACTGTACTTGGGGACAAAGACCCGAGTTTGCTCCCAGGATCTACACTGTGGAAGGAGGGCTGATTTCCAAAGGTTCTGACTTCCAAATGTAACAAAACTTTATATATTTTTTTATTTATTAAAAATGTCAACCTCCTCCCCATTTCCCTCCCACTCCCCCCAAAACTTTATATTTAAAAAGATACTTAAAACTAAGGTAGTTCAGGCAATGATGAGAAGAAGGTCGAGCTAGGTCTGAGTCTGACAGAGGGAATTTGGGTTTTGAGATGCGGGTTTGGAGAGGAAAAAGACAGAGGGAACATTCCAAGTATTGGGAGCAGGAGAGAAAAAAGAGTTGACTAACTTCTGGGTCTGAGGGGGCAGGAGGCAAGAGCAACATGGACAGTAGCGGAGAGGGTTTGGGTCAGCCTGCATAGTGAACACGGAAGGGCCTTGCTGCTGTCTGTGTCCTGGACAAGCTTGTCAGCTGGGAGGAGCCCTGTTGACTTTCCCCAGCCAGGCTGGGCAGGCCAGGTGCTGAGGCCCAGCAGATGGACAGTGGGATGGCCTCCAGCCAGCATGGACACAGGTAAGGCCAGCGCTGTTGAAAGTCAAGGGAGGAGATGGGGTAATTCCCACGTGGGCTGCACTGGGCAGCAAAACATGTCTGGTCATTCGATCCCCACATCTGTCCTTCAGGAGATCTGTGTTTTTCCTCTCCCAGCGGGAAAGGAGGTTCAGAGAGTTAGCTGACTTGGCCGAAGTCACACAGCCACAAATGGCAGGGTTAAACCCTGGTTCAAGTCCAAGGTGGCCTGATTCTCGAACTTGGACTCCTCTGTTAGAGCAGGTATTGAGTGCTTATTATGGGCTGGCCATTGTGCTGAGACTCTTCCAGACTTGTCGTTCAGTATGCCGAGTGACTCAGTGGGGCAGGGCACCTTCTCAGCCTCCCGCTGCTCTGCCAAGGCTCAGAGACCTGCAGTCACTTGGCCAAGCTGTACCAGGAGCAAGTGACAGAGCCAGTGGCATCACCAGGAAGTTATAAGCCAACACCACTACCGGTCATTAGAACAAACTGGAGAGGCAGGAGGATCTCTGTGAGTTCGAGGCCAGCCTGGTCTACAGGAGCTAGTTCCAGGCAGGTTCCAAAGCTACAGAGAAACCCTGTCTCAAAAAACAAACAAACAAACAAACAAACAAAAAGAACAAACTAGAGTCATGGGACTGGCAGGTGAAGAGATCAGTATGGATTATCAGTGGTGAGCTGGGGCCCTGGACTGTTTCAGAGGGGACACAGAGTCTCACAATGTAGACTTTGCTGGCCTAGAACTCCGCTGTAGACCAGGCTGGCCTCGAACTCACAGACCTCCACCTGCTTCTGCCTCACAAGTGCTGGGATTAAAGGTTTGTGCCACCATGTCTGATGCAAACTTTTTTTTTTTTTTGAATGCTGGCTCTCATGTAGAACTGGGAATTTATCAAAGACTGGTTGTGAAGGCTTAATCCTTCTGCCTCTACCTCCCAAGTCCTGAGATTACAGGCACAGGATTCAATGCCTGGCTTATTCTTACTTTAATGAAGATTTCAAACGTGTGTGTATGTGTGTTACTGGAGAATGAACCTAAGACCTTGTACATGCTAAGCAAGCACCCTACCACCAGGCTATACCACAATCTTCTCTATTTTAAAAAACTGTTTGCTTTAATCCCAGCACTCGGGAGGCAGAGGCAGGAGGATCTCTGTGAGTTCGAGACCAGCCTGGTCTACAAGAGCTAGTTCCAGGACAGGCTCCAAAATCACAGAGGAAACCCTGTCTCGAAAAACCAAAAGAAAAAAAAAAAAAACAAAAAAACAAAAAAACTGTTTTCCAGGAGTAGGGAAATGGCTCAGCGGTTAAGAGTAGTGACTGTTCTTCTAGAGGACCCGGGTTCAATTCCCAGCATCCAGATGGCAGCTCATAACTGTCTGTAACTCTAGTTCCAGGGGATCTGACACCCTCACACAGTACACTTAAAAGTAAAATAAAATAAATTATATAAAAATTGCCGGTTCCATGAATTTGTATAATGGATTTTAGTCATGCTCACCTCGTGAGTATCCGGGCATCTGTACTGGTCTGACCTTGGGTCTCTGCATCCTCAGCGACTAAGAGCGCCACCTGTGCTCATTCACCAGGCTCCCTTTTTAAAGGGCCCTGCCCACTTCGCACCTCTCTCTCTGTTTCTGCCTGTGTGTGTCTCTCTCTGTTCTTCTGCCATTCCTGTCCCCCAGGCCCGTTTACCCCCTCCTCCTCCTTTTACATTCCCTTCCCTTTAGTAAAAATCCCCCCACCTGAGCTCCGTCGAATGGCATCTTTCTCACTCGCGCCGCTTTATTATTTTTTTCAAATTATAACACACTTCCCATTCCCCTTCCCCACCCCCTTCCCTCTCCCACTGGAACCCCTTCTTCTCAAGAAGTTTCTCTCCTCTATCAGCTGTCGATAGTAATGCTGGGAAGGGCGGGACCCCTTGGGCCCCTCCTCCATCCATGTTGAAATGTTGACGGGTCCAACTTTGGGCAAATCTCGATAGACAAACACAGCCACAGTGAAGTGTATGCATGAAATGGTGTCGTGGGAGCTCGATCCGTTCAGCCAACGACTTTTGGGGTGATTTGCTATGGGCATGGTTTTCTCTGGAGAGGTAACCCAATAAAATGGAGAGAAAAAGGGTCTTGTGTGCTCTCTTGGGATGTCGGAGCTGGAGCAGCAGCTGGATCAGTGGCGGCATCTACTTTGTTCTAGATGTGTGGATCTGTTTTTCCATTGCATCCCTTAATTGTTTAATAAATAGACTTTTATGGCTTCTCACTTCAAAACGGCTATGCCATGTGGATGCTGGGAATTAAACCTGGGTTCAATTTTTT